GGACTGGTCGGCTCGGAGTCAGTATAATGTGTCTGAGTGGGGTATTCATGCTTCACTGCGGCATGGTATCTCAGTGGGCTAGCACTATAAAACCAGCTTAAGTCTGGGCTAGTACAAGCAGCCGCACATACAGATACACACGCATGCACACGTTGTCATATGAGTGAAATATTCTCAAGTACGACGTTAAACCCCATGTCACCTCACTTCACCTAGATCAATGCTCATGATGACCAAAACCCAATTTCACCTCACCTCACCTTCAAAGGGGGGGTGGGGTGGGGTTGTCGAACCCCCTGAACCCCTCTCTGGATCTGCCAATGCCATACGCACCCACTCAGTACAATATTACTTTACAAAAGAATGTTTGAAAACCAGTGAAGCTAGATTTATATGATTGTCTACATCTACAGAATCTGGATCCATAACACATGCCTCTACAATATTGATGGTAATTAAGTGCTCAGGAAGCTGCATAAATTGACAAAGGGACATGCTTACTGAAACCATATGTATATAAAATTGTGTTCAGAGACCAAGTGGTAGTGCAGAAACTTGGTTCAAATGGTTGGTCAGTGAAACTAAATATATTTAAATAAAAGTTGATAATGTTCTGACCATCTGTTTTCTGTAGGGCATTCCAAATTTTTATGTTTCTAATCTAAAAAAGAACAAGAGAGTGGGTGTATGAAAGAAAAATGTATAAAAAATAATTTAAAAGATTTGTGTTAATTATTGAATTCATATTTTATGAAAATTTAAAATTTAGATTACCTGGTAATTGTCTTTAAATTAATATATAAGGTAGATCAGGTCACTTTGCCCCTGGGTGAGTGAGTGAGTAAGTGAGTTTCGTTTTACGCCACTTTTAGCAATATTCCAGCCATATCACGGTGGGGGAGACCTGAATTGGGCTTCACACAATGTACCCAAGTGGGGAAACGAACCCAGGTCTTTGACACACATCAGAATAAAAATTCTGGGTCAAAGATAAGGAAAAAAATGGACACTCGAAAATGAACAAGACAAAAAGGACTGTCATGTCAGTTTTTGATTTTTGAAGAAGCCATGACTCCTTACTGACTGGTCCAGAATTTGGCCTGGGGAGTTTCTTTCAATAGGCTTCTTCCTACGGAGAATGGGGTGAGCTAAATTAATGTGTGTCATGTTAATGATAAGATCTGCTTTCAGAAAATAAAGAAACCTCAACCTGGTATTGGTATACTATTTTCCACAACACTAGCCCTGGGGGAAACAGCACAGGCCCTCGTGTCTTTGCGTGGATTAACGATTAAAAAAATATTGTTTTTGAGATGACCCCCGACTCGAAATGCTTCACAGTACAATACATACATACATATACATAATGTATTATACTGTGAAGCATTTCAAGTCGGGGGTCATCTCAAAATTTTGTATTTGTATCTGGAATTTTTTGGGTAGATTAATGAACTCAAGTATAAGTCGGGTCTGATTTTTATACCTACATTTTCTGGTATCAAATTTCCGACTTATAGTCGGTCATATACGGTATATGTTATAAAATCTCTAATCCTCGCAAAGACAAGAGGGCCTGTGGGAAACAGAGGGGAATAGTAACGTACTGAAACAACCAGGGTCTAAGGGTTGACTTTCGCAAAATAATTGGTTGAATAGGTTGTGTGGAGTGCAATAGTGCAGTGGTAAGGCGTCTGCCTATCACACTGAAGGCCTGGGTTCAATCCCTGGTGGAGGCACCTAGGTTCGGTCCCCAGGTGGGCACATTTGCGTAGTACCCTTGGACAAGATACTTAGATCCACATTGTCTCAGTTCACCTAGCTGTAAAATGGGTACCCGTGAGGAAGTGCTGGCAATGTGAGTGTGGCAATGTGCATGGCTGTATGATCCCCAGGGAGTTGAAAAAGTATTGGATAGTACGACAGTGTCCTATGACCGTGGATAGTAATGTACGTAGCACCGGCAGCAGGTAATGTGCCTGTCAGTGAAGCAAAAAACGTTTTGCCTGAAATGTTATTAGAACTGATGGCATAAACTAAATAGGAGTCCAGTGTATTCTAGAATGATCAGGCAAACCTAGATTTTGTCAAGTCTGCATATATATATTTTAAGACAAAACAACTTTGTTCTTGGACAAACTTTCAGTCTACACTGTGCCTCCAAGTCTATTCTCCTTCACAAAATTCAAGACTGACTGAACTAACAAGATGCCATAGTTTCCATCTTCGCTGTACTGTTTTGCTGTAAATCATTTACAAAAACTACATGCATTAGAGCTGTGTCCCTAATTTCTATTTATATCATATTTCAGTGTATGAAATAAGGCCCATCAGACCGCCCCAGACGGTCTAGATTTCTGATGGACGGTCTAAATTTACAGCTAGCCATATTTGGTCTGGTTAAATCCATTTTGGGCTGGTAACATTTTGAAGTTACCAGCCGTTATGGCTGGCTGGATTTTTGGTTTATTTCGTACACTGCATATTTGCAAGAGGTAAAGCCATGATAATTTAATTATTGCATGATAAGATAATCATGCACCTGTCGAAATAGCTTAGTGTGGTTTCAAACAAACAAACAAACAATTAGTGAGTGAGTATGGTTTTATGCCGCTTTTAGCAATATTCCAGCAATATCATGGTGGGGACACCAGAAATGGGCTTCACACATTGCACCCATGTGGCGAATCGAACCCGGGTCTTCAGCGTGATGAGCGAACGCTTTAACCACTAGGCTACCCCATCGCCCCGACTTGGTATATAAACAAACAAACAAACAAACAAACAAAGATAATCATGCCTGCAAGTCTCAATGCAAATATAATCGTAGCTCACAGTCAATAAAAACTATATTAATTTCTTTTGAATCAGACTTAATTACATGTAACAGCAAATTGTCCTTTTTGTTGTTGTTTTCAAGCAATATACGTGTACTGGAAAACCTGGAGTTATGAAGCGTCTCACACACAAAGCAGCAGCAGTAATTATCTGCAGTCCTGTTATATAAAACCCTGTGACTACAATGAAACATTTGTGTGTGTCCACAAATCTTGCTGAGTCAGCACTGAGGGAAATTCCTTATTGCAAGGCTCAAAACTATCAACTATGCATACAAACAGAGTTGACTGACTCGATAAATATCAACAGAAACGTGAGCACAACAAACTGCAATGACACATTCCATAAGCGACATTTTGCGATGAAGCAAACTCGCTCAAGATGAATACAGTATGTAAATAACCGCCAAGTCATAAAACACTTGATAATGGGCTTTCTCATAAATCTTAAGTTAATGATGCATGTTGTCATTGATTGTTATAATAGGAGGGTAAAAACGATGGCAAATCATACTACAAGCAAATTCAGATATTGATCTGGGGTCCAGCTGCTTACGAAGTTTATTCTTCTTCATCAATAAATGGAGTGTTTGTGGTACTTGAAGTGATGATTTAAGAGTCAGTGTTTGTGGTATTGAGAGGCAGCTCCGTGTGTTCTTGGCACAGCTATAAAACATTTGCATCGTGTAACGGAGTACTGGTTTAACACTAAGATCTCGTCAATATCACATGAGCACGATGATGCATGGAGGAGTATAAGGCATTTTTCTGATTCCTTTGATGTGTAAAACACTGAGGACCCATCTGGATGAGGATGTATAGAATACTTGATGTTCACGGCATATGTTGCATGTTTCGCGCCGTGTCCACTGGCTCATAGAAGACTTGGATGATTCTGAATCTTTAAGTAGTGTGTAGTGTGTTAGTTGTCTGGTGCTCTATTCAGCATATTCCAGCAATATGACGGTAGTCTGTTAATAATTAATTCAAGATTAAACACAACAGTGGTTAATATCATGAGCATCAATGTATACAATGAGTGAGTGAGTGAGTTTTGTTTTATGTCGCACTCAGCAATATTCCAGCTATATGGCGGCAATCCAGTGACCAACATCATGAGCATTGATCTACACCAATGGGATACCATAACATGTGTCAATACATGAGTGAGAGAGTGAGTGAGTGAGTGAGTGAGTGAGTGTGTGAGTGAGTGAGTGAGTGAGTGAGAGTGAGTGAGTGAGTGAGTATGATTATGAGTGAGTATGATTTTACGCCACTTTTGCAATATGACAGCAGGGGGACATCAGAAATGGGTTTCGCACTTTGTACCCAAGTAAGGAATCGAACCCAGGTCTTTAACCATTCGGGTATTGACTTAAAATGTAATTAAAAGACTCATCTAGATTGCAGTTTGATAAACACAAATTCATACGAGCCAGCTATCATGAAGGGATTCACCTTTTGATATTCTTGGGGTGGGTGGTGGAGGTGTCATCTGCGACATTCCTTCGCATATAATTTGCTCCAGAAACCAGCATAAATATAATTTCTAAGATTTTCCCTCTCAAAATAAATAGTTTACTGCATGCCCACCAAAAATGTGAACATTCTTTCTGATTGAGCCTTGTGGTTAAAGCTTTCGTTCATCAGCTTGAAGACCCGGGTTTGATTCCCCACATGGGTACAATGTGTTAAGCCTGTTTCTGGCGCCTCTGCTGTTACATGCTGGGATACAGTAAAAGTGGCGTAAAACTAAAATCATTCTTGTTCTTGAATTCACCCACTGCACAAGGTACAGTTAACAGTAAAATAAAAATAAAATGATAATATAATTATTTTCTGCTTCTATTATTGTTTTCTATCCATCTCTGGGCAATATCTAAAAACACCCCTGAACATATTATTCCTGAAATGTTGACAGATGTTGCCAAAATATCTTGCCTGTGGCAATAATCTGTGAAGTGTAACCATCCAAACAAGGCAAGTATTGTCTGCACATTGGGACAATACACGACATTATCACAACAAGTGATCCAGCTGTCACTCCAAATGAAACTATTATACATGAAAAATGAGTGCTGGGTTAGTTCTGTGTCATGGTCAAAGGGAAATAACTCTTGCAGCCAAACTTCTCTGTGAAACCCAGCAGTTGCTTTCTCTAAGCAGGTCCAACACTCAGGGCAGGTCCAACATTCGGGGGCAGGCCCAACACCCAGGACAGATCCAACACTCAGGGCAGGTCCAACACTCAGGGCAGATCCAACACTCGAGGCAGGTACAACACTCCGGGCAGGTCCTACACTCAGGGGCTGGTCCAACACTCGGGACAGGTCCAACTCTCCGGGCAGATCCAACACTCAGGGCAGGTCAAACACTCGGGGCAGGTCCAACAGTCGGGGCAGGTACAACACTCGGGGCATGTCCAACACTCAGGGCAGGTACAACGCTCGGGGCAGGCAAACACTCGGGGCAGGTCCAATACTCAGGGCAGGTACAACACTCGGGGCAGGTCCAACACTCAGGGCAGGTACAACGCTCGGGGCAGGTCCAACAGTCGGGGCAGGTACAACTCTCAGGGCAGGTCCAACACTCAGGGCAGGTACAACGCTCGGGGCAGGTACAACAGTCGGGGCAGGTACAACGCTCAGGGCAGGTCCAACACTCAGGGCAGGTACAACACTCGGGGCAGGTCCAACACTCAGGGCAGGTCCAACACTCAGGGCAGGTACAACACTCGGGGCAGGTCCTACACTCAGGGCAGGTACAACACTCGGGGCAGGTCCTACACTCAGGGCAGGTCCTACACTCAGGGCAGGTACAACGCTTGGGGCAGGTACAACACTCAGGGCAGGTCCAACACTCGGGCAGGTACAACGCGGGCAGGTACAACACTCGGGCAGGTCCAACACCTCAGGCAGGTCCAACACTTTCGAGGGCAGGTCCAACACTCAGGGCAGGTCAACAGTGGGGCAGATCCAACACTCAGGGGCAGGTCCAACAGTGGGGGTAGGTACAACACTCAGGGTAGGTACAACACTCGGGCGGGTCCAACACTCAGGGCAGATCAGGACAGATCCAACACTAAGGGCAGATCCAACACTCCGGGCAGGTCCAACAGTCGGGGTAGGTAAAACACTACGGGCAGGTCCAACAGTCGGGGCAGGTACAAAACTCGAGGCAGGTCCAACAGTCGGTGGCAGGTCCAACACTCGAGGCAGGTCCAACAGTCGGGCAGGTCCAACACTCGGGGCAGGTCCAACAGTCGGGACAGGTACAACACTCGGGGCAGGTCCAACACTCGGGGCAGGTCCAACAGTCGGGGCAGGTCCAACACTCAGGGCAGGTACAACACTCAGGGCAGGTCCAACACGGGCGGGCAGATCCAGGGCAGGTCAACACTCCGGGCAGGTCCAACAGTCGGGCAGGTCCAACACTCAGGCAGGTCCAACAGTTGGGGCAGGGTCCAACACTTGGGGCAGGTCCAACACCCGGGCAGGTCCAACACTCAGGGCAGATCCAACAGTCGGGCAGGTCCAACACTCGGGCAGGTCCAACAGTGGGAGCAGATACAACACTCAGGGCAGGTCCAACAGTCGGGCAGGTCCAACACTCGCAGGCAGGTCCAACACTCCAAACACTCGGGCAGGTCCAACAGTCACAGGCAATAACACTCAGCAGGTCAACACTCGGGCAAGGTCCAACAGTCGGTACAACACTCAGGGTAGGTACAACACTCCAGGGCAGGTCAACTTACTCAGGGCCAACACTCAGGTCCAACACTAAGGGCAGATCCAACACTCCGGGCAGGTCCAACAGTCGGGGTAGGTAAAACACTCAGGGCAGGTCCAACGCTCCGGGCAGATCCAACACTACGGGCAGGTCCAACAGTCGGGGCAGGTACAAAACTCGGGGCAGGTCCAACAGTCGGGGTAGGTACAACACTTTCGGGGCAGGTCCAACAGTCGGGGTAGGTACAACTCTCAGGGCAGGTCCAACAGTCGGGGTAGGTACAACTCTCAGAGCAGGTCCAACGCTCCGGGCAGATCCAACACTCCGGGCAGGTCCAACAGTCGGGGCAGGTACAAAACTCGGGGCAGGTCCAACAGTCGGGGTAGGTACAACACTCGGGGCAGGTCCAACAGTCGGGGTAGGTACAACTCTCAGGGCAGGTCCAAAGCTCCGGGCATATCCAACACTCCGGGCAGGTCCAACAGTCGGGGCAGGTCCAACAGTCGGGGTAGGTCCAACACTCTGGGCAGATACAACAGTCAGAGCAGGTACAACACTCTGGGCAGGTCCAACACTCGGGGCAGGTCCAACAGTCAGAGCAGGTACAACCCTCGGGGCAGGTACAACACTCGGGGCAGGTCCACTTGCACAAAGTGATCCTTGTGCTACAGGATCGTATTATCTATCATACACCAACATAGATTTCAGATGATTGTAGTGCAAGTGGGCCTGGGTATATTTTGGTGCATATCTAATGTCTTATCAATTTTTGTTTTACAGAGAGTTTGGGTTTCTCAAAATACTTACATGAATACATCTGCTTTGCTCAGTATATCTTACCTTTCAACACAAGCTTCCACTGAAAATACAAAGAGTTTTGCTGATGCGACATTAATTGTCAACACTCCATGAGCAGACACAAGACACAGAGAATATTTCTCATGGGTAGAGCAAGGGAATGTGCTTGTTGAATGCTACCATGTTTGGAGTGAGTGAGTTTAGTTTTACGCCGCACTCTGCAATATTCCAGCTATATGGTGGCGGCCTGTAAATTATCAAGTGTGGACCAGACAATCTAGTGATCAACAGCATGAGCATCGATCTGCGCAATTGGGAACCGACGACATGTGTCAACCAAGCCAGCGAGCCTGACCACCCGATCCCGTTATTCGCCTCTTACGACAACCTTGGGTTCATTCTAACCCGGACCTTCACGGGTTCACTACTATGTTTGGATAACTGGGCATGAAAGTGCAGATGATAATGTTGATCACTGTGTTGTAAAGTTGTTGTCTAACACTGCAATATTTCAGCAATACGAATGGCAGTCAGTGCGGTATCAGATCTTGACAAAACAATCCAGTGAGTGACGTAAAATGAAAAATGACCAAATTTTTATTTCCAGATATCAACATATCTCCCTTTGACTTCAAGATCAAATTGTGATCACAACCATTTCCATTTACTGTAAGAAGACTTGACCTGATATCGATGAACGTTGTCTCTGAACATTTACTCTAGACACAGTTAATTATGGCCAATAATGCACATCAACTTTAATCTGATGCATCTTAAATAGCATCTTTAATATACATGGGCAATACCCGGGTATATGTGAATCCTTATAGCACACAAGCTGACATGTCTTTGAGCCATGCCTGTTTAGTGAGGTGAGGTGAGGTGAAATTGGGTTTAACGTCGTACTTGAGAATATTTCGCTCATATGACGATGTGCATGCGTGTGTGTGTATGTGCAGCTGCTTGTACTAGCCCAGACTGAAGCTGGTTTTATAGTGCTAGCCCACTGAGATACCATGCCGCAGTGAAGCATGAATACCCCACTCAGACACATTATAATGACTCCGAGCCGACCAGTCCTTGGTTGTAACCCATTAATGCCGAGCGCCAGGCAGGGACCAACAAGTACCATATTTTAACGTCTTTTGGTATATGACGCGGTTAGGGAGCGAACCCGCGACCTTCCGCTCTCCGGGCGGACGCTCTAACCACTACACCATGGAGGCGGCCCATGCCTGTTTGGGGTTGGACAGAACCAAGATACAAACATGACAGTGAGAGGGTCAGGAGTTGCCATGCCTCTCGGAGTAACTCCCTCCCTCACTCTAGACAGTGGTGGGGGGTAGCCTGGTGGTTAAAGTGTACGCTCGTCACTACGAAGACCTGGGTTCGATTCCCAAAGTTGGAAAATGTGTGAAGCCCATTTCTGGTGTCCCCTGCTATTATGTTGGAATATTGCTAAAAGCGGCGTAAAACTAAATTCACTCACTCACTCTAGACAATGGAGAAGTAAGTTAAGTTTACACTGCTTTTAGCAATATTCCAGCAGTATCACAATGGGGGACACCAGAAATGGGCTTTACACACTCTACCCATGTGGGGAATTGAACCCGGGTCTTCAGCATGACAGGCAACACTTCAACCACTAGGCTACCCCACCGCCAAAGGAGGAACAATATTATATCACAATTTCCCCCCATTTATGTTGAAATCATACAAATAAAAAATATATATGAGATTGGTAAAATGTTTATTCAAATCTAATCTACTTTTTCAAGTTTTGACAGTAGACATATTCCAAGTCCCGCGAAAGCAGAAACATTTTGATTAACACAAATATCATGCATTCTTATCTGAAACACAGTGTACAATCTGCTCTATGGGGTAACAAAGCAACAAGCCTGTTCTAAGCAGAAGAATACAAAACAACATGTCATTATCATAACAATATACATGCCCTAATTTTAAACAAAAATATATAGATGTCAACGTCACCTGTTTGCACTAAATATTAAAAAGACATGTATATACACAAAGACGGTTGCTGTCTTCAGAAAGACAACATGTGGTACAAAATGACGACACAATCATACAAACACAACATAAGGTCCGATATAAATCTTTGTATATAACAAAATGTTGACATCAAAGGTATGTTTATATGATATCTTCGTCTGAATTGGGTTTGACAGAGCCTTAAACAGTATTTTAGTTATATCACGGCATGTCAACGTGACGTGGAAGGAAAGCCGGAAGAGATAAGGACTTATTGAAGCCCTCAGGTATGGCTAATGATTGATCATGGGATTCTGTCATGTCTAAGGGAAGCAACTCTGTACGGTGAATAACAGCACCTTAGACAACTGGGCTGTCACTGATCATGGGATTCTGTCATGTCTAAGGGAAGCAACTCTGTATGGTGAATAACAGCACCTTAGACAACTGGGCTGTCACTGATCATGGGATTCTGCCATGTCTAAGGGAAGCAACTCCGTACAGTGAATAACAGCACCTTAGACAACTGGGCTATCAATGCCCCAAGTACAGTAAAATAATGAGAGACAGTTATTGCAATCTTATTGTCACTATGAACATTATAAAAAAGACAACACACAACTGAGGACAAATGTTCAGGTGTAATCAAAGGGACATAACTCTTCCTGGAGTATTCTTTCAGGTGAGTAAAAAATAACCTGAAGTTCAATCAGTATTTTGATTCTTTTTCTCTGCAGGGTTTTCTTGGAAGTGCTTTGCCAAAGATATATTCCAGCAGCAGCTGACATTATTTCACTTCTTTCTTTCTCAAATTTTAAACTGGGAAACAATACAAGCTAAAACTGTAATCACAACAGTCTTTATAGGAATCTCAGCTCTCAGACCTCATCTTGGTCTGGCGCTGGCTGACCATGATAATCTGGGAAAATGTGGCATTCAACGAAACCAAGAATGACTGAGTGCCAAACAACATAGGCGCAAAGCAAACATAAAAGTGTGGAATCACTTTGTCTATCAACCTCCAAACATCACTGGGTACATGCAGGCTTAACCTTTCACTCTCTTTAGGTCACCTCATGTCAACCTATGCACATCCAAGTTTCACAGTTGCTGTTTTATCACTATATTTGACTAATTCCTTTTGCTTTGGTAAATCTTAAGAAATAAGTGCACATTAACATAACATATGGAAGTTGAAATGATTTCCATCCTTATTGGACAAACATGGCCATTTTTTACAGAAACATGTAAATTGACAAAAACACCCAAATGCAACAAGAAAAAATGCCAGAAGCATAGTTTCAGTAAAACAAAATAGGACAGCACTTGGACGAAATTAAAACTCTTGACAATGGACACTATGACATGGTAAATGAATATTTTTTAAATACATGGAAAAAACATTCTACTGCAAGCAGATATAGCTAATTTCTGACTATGTAACTAAAATTAAAAGTAATAAACATTTTTATTCATATACCCTCATAACAAGATGCTGAGATTTGTTTGTTTGTTTGTTTATTGTGAAACACCACACTCAACAAAATTCCAGGTATATGGTGGCGGTCTGTAAATAACCAAGTCTGGACCAGACAATCCAGTGATCAACATCATGGGCATCGATCTACATGTGGATCACGAAGACATGCGTCAACCAAGTCAGCGAGCCTGACCACCCGATCCTGTTACTCGCCTCTTACGACAAGCATGGGTTACTGAAGATCAATTCTAAGTAAAATGATAAGAAGGCAAACAGAGAAAGGTATGTATTTCAGTGTTACAGATGCCCGTCACCAAACTACATCTCAAGCCTGCATAGTTATGAGGAATCTTTCAGCTGAACTCAACATAAGATGACAGTCCAAATCAGTCTTAAGGGGCTGATCAGGAATGTAATTTATCATAGAATGCAAAGATTCCTGCCATATTAATCAATCTCATACTGACTAAAAAAGAGGCCTCATATTTTATGGCATTGACAAAAATTAGTTACTTAAAATGGTATCCCCAAACCTAAACCATTTAGATGTCTCCATTTGTCTCCGAAGTTTGATATGTTTAATCTACTTTTGTCTCTTTAGTACATAATAAAACAATTACAGACCTTAGACGTGGTCAATACTATATTGTATCGACCCCCAACCCCCAAAAACCTCTTGACCGAGGATGGCGTCAAGTAACAGCGTTCCTTCTCAGGGTCCATCAAATCAGGCATGGACCTCACATCAATTCTATAATTTTATATACTGGACAATATAGTT